CAGCAGGCATAAAGAGACTGCGTTCTCTTAAGAAAAAGAAAGCCTTCATATATAGGCCTGATCACATGATAGCAAAAGAATGCTACCAGGAATTGATGTCTAACCCAGCATACCAATAAGATACGCTCCAATAACCAGAAAGAGAGTCACTCCTAGCCAAGGAAATGCCTGGGTGAGACATGGGTTGGGAATAAAGATGATGGGATGATTTAGGCAGAGGGTTGGTTGAGTGCAAACATCAAAGAGGTAGGTGGCACACAGCTATAATCCTCGCACTCTGGAGGCTGAGGTAGGAGGATCATTGCAAGTTCAAGACCAGCCTGGACTACAAAGTGAGCTCAAGGCCAGCCTGAACTGCATAGTGAGACCCTGTCTCAAAAAGACCCCGGGGGTGGGGGCGCAGAAAGGTAGGTGAGTTCCTTGGATAATGAAGTACATGGGCCCCTTGTTTGGCAGAAAGGGCCAATAGAATGAGACAATGGGGTGGCTTACTGGGACAGAGGATGAATGGGCTCTGGTGTCCGGCTTGGGATTCACACGTTATTCCACAGGCCTTGAGGATCCAGAGGAAGGCAACAAGCACGGGAGGGATGTGACCCATGCTGTATTTCAGTTGAGTGCCTGATCCGTGAATAGATCAGGGCAGAGGAATTTTCAGAAGGATGCAGATGAAGCAAATACAGTTGAAATCAATAAAAGAAGTATGTCACTAAAGGTTAAAAAGGGAAAGAGAGAAGAGATGGATATAAAAATCACTGGGAAGAAAGAAGTACTGAGATGTGGCTTTAGTCTTCTTGCCACTTTAATCGTGCCAGAAATCTGAGGCACAATAATCCAGCCAGGGCCACGATTGTATGTGGAGTTGGACGTGCCTGGGCTGAGCCCTGCATTCTCACAGACTAACATTGCGACATCGCGTGGGCTACGTAACCTCTCCGCGCTGGAGCTGTTTTCATAAGGAGAACAGTTCGTACGTACACCTCATACGCGGCGCAGGAATGAGCTGAGAATAAGATGACGGCTGCAGCGGTGACTGCCCAGTGAGACAGGCAGGGAACCCCCAGCAGCGTTCCTGAGGAAACGCAAAACTTCCCGGAAGCAGCGGATTTGGGGGAACCACTTGAAACATGAGCTCGTTCTACTTTTTCTTTTTTTTTTTAATTTTTTATTTATTTATTTGTGTGTGTGTGTGTGTGTGTGTGTGTGTGCGTGCGTGGCCAGCTCAGCCCACCATGGGGCGGGGCTGGCTGGCATGTGGTGCTGGGGGATTGAACCGCGGTCCCTGTGCTTTGCTTTGCTCAAGCTTGTTCTAAGTAGGTGCTTTAGACCACTGAGCCATCTCACCAGCCCCATCGTTCTACTTTTTCAAGGAAGCTGATTGTGAACTGTCGCTGACCGAGTCTGCTCCGTTCATCTCTCTTCCCTGTCCCTAAGCCTAGGCATACCAGCGCACACCATGTTTCTGGTACTTTGGTGTTGGCTACAGTCCTCATTGTTTGTTTCTTGCTCCCTGGCTTTCTGAATAGCGTGGACGAGGGCTAGGAAAGTGGCTCAGCAGAATAAGCGCCCGCCTCAATAGCATGAACAAGAACTTTTGTTTAACCGCTGAAGAATCTGCCCAACTGTAGTTCCGCAGACAACACAGATTAAAATGGAAGCAAGACAAAACAGGACCACTGTCTGCTGCTGCTGTCCCCAGCCCGGCACAGTGGCCTTCGAGTGTTTAGTGGCTTACCAGCTATGGACCAGGCACTGTGAGCGGTGGGAGGAGGGCCTGGGGCCTTCCAGTGGACCCACGCTCTGGTGTAGATGCGTGACCCAAACGAGGTGGCCTGGCAGACGTGAAAGCCGTCTCTGGGTGGAGGTCACTGAGGGAAAGAATGGTTTCTTTCCTCTTTTTTTTATTATCTAAAGAGAATACAAAATAGTAAGAAAAATAACACATTAGGAACGATAGAGACCTTCACCAAACCAAACAATAGGAATTTAGGGGCCAAGGAGATGCATCGTTCAGTAGAATAAGCGCTTCCCTGGCAAGTGTAAGGGCCTGAGTTCAATCCCTGGTTCTGCCAAAAACCAAACAAACAATAGGAATTTGACAATGGCTGCTATATTGCATAATGTTGTCTTCAAATTAGTTTTTCAGATTACCAAACATATGCATGCAAAATTGGTTATAAAGGAAAAGAGAAAAGTTACACAAGGGCCTGAGTTCAATTCCTGGTTCAGAGAGACAGAGAGAGAGAGAGAGAGAGAGAGAGAGAGAGAGAGAGAGAGAGAGAGAAGTTATAGATATT